TGTCTCCATTCACTCCCATCAAACATGCTCACGCATGCCTGCTGGAAGTCCAAGCCCCTCGCACACAAAACCTCCTTTACCCCCTCCCTCCAACCTTACCCAGGCCGACCCCTACCCTGCCTTCCATCCACTACAGACTGATACACTCTTGAAGTCATTCTGTTTCGCTCCATTCTCTCTACATGTCCGAACCACCTCAACAACCCTTCCTCAGCCCTCTGGACAACATTTTGGTAATCCCGCACCTCCTCCTAACTTCCAAACTACGAATTCTCTGTATTATATTCACACCACATATTGCCCTCAGACATGACATCTCCACTGCCTCCAGCCTTCTCCTCGCTGCAACATTCATCACCCATGCTTCACACCCATATAAGAGCGTTGGTAAAACTATACTCTCATACATTCCCCTCTTTGCCTCCAAGGACAAAGTTCTTTGTCTCCACAGACTCCTAAGTGCACCGCTCACCCTTTTCCCCTCATCAATTCTATGATTCACCTCATCTTTCATAGACCCATCCGCTGACACGTCCACTCCCAAATATCTGAATACATTCACCTCCTCCATACTCTCTCCCTCCAATCTGATATCCAATTTTTCATCACCTAATCTTTTTGTTATCCTCATAACCTTACTCTTTCCTGTATTCACTTTTAATTTTCTTCTTTTGCATACCCTACCAAATTCATCCACCAACCTCTGCAACTTCTCTTCAGAATCTCCCAAGAGCACAGTGTCATCAGCAAAGAGCAACCACGGTGACATCACACATCCTTGTCTAAGGCCTACTTTTACTGGGAAATAATCTCCCTCTTTCCTACATACTCTAACTTGAGCCTCACTATCCTCATAAAAACTCTTCACTGCTTTCAGTAACCTACCTCCTACACCATACACCTGCAACATCTGCCACACTGCCCCCCTATCCACCCTGTCATACGCCTTTTCCAAATCCATAAATGCCACGAAAACCTCTTTAGCCTTATCTAAATACTGTTCACTTATATGTTTCACTGTAAACACCTGGTCCACACACCCCGTACCTTTCCTAAAGCCTCCTTGTTCATCTGCTATCCTATTCTCCGTCTTACTCTTAATTCTTTCAATAATAACTCTACCATACACTTTACCAGGTATAATCAACAGACTTATCCTCCTATAATTTTTGCACTCTCTTTCGTCCCCTTTGCCTTTATACAAAGGAACTATGCATGCTCTCTGCCAATCCCTAGGTACCTTACCCTCTTCTATACATTTATTAAATAATTGCACCAACCACTCCAAAACTATGTCCCCACCTGCTTTTAACATTTCTATCTTTATCCCATCAATCCCGGCTGCCTTACCCCCTTTCATTTTACCTACTGCCTCACGAACTTCCCCCACACTCACAACTACCTCTTCCTCACTCCTACAAGATGTTATTCCTCCTTGCCCTATACACGAAATCACAGCTTCCCTATCTTCATCAACATTTAACAATTCCTCAAAATATTCCTTCCATCTTCCCAATACCTCTAACTCTCCATTTAATAACTCTCCTCTCCTATTTTTAACTGACAAATCCATTTGTTCTCTAGGCTTCCTTAACTTGTTAATCTCACTCCAAAACTTTTTCTTATTTTCAACAAAATTTGTTGATAACATCTCACCTACTCTCTCATTTGCTCTCTTTTTACACTGCTTCACCACTCTCTTAACCTCTCTCTTTTTCTCCATATACTCTTCCCTCCTTGCATCACTTCTACTTTGTAAAAACTTCTCATATGCTAACTTTTTCTCCCTTACTACTCTCTTTACATCATCATTCCACCAATCACTCCTCTTCCTTCCCACACCCACTTTCCTGTAACCACAAACTTCTGCTGAACACTAACACTACATTTTTAAACCTATCCCATACCTCTTCGACCCCATTGCCTATGCTCTCATTAGCCCATCTATGCTCCAATAGCTGTTTATATCTTACCCTAACTGCCTCCTCTTTTAGTTTATAAACCTTCACCTCTCTCTTCCCTGATGCTTTTATTCTCCTTGTATCCCATCTACCTTTTACTCTCAGTGTAGCTACAACTAAGAAGTGATCTGATATATCTGTGGCTCCTCTATAAACGTGTACATCCTGAAGTCTACTCAACAGTCTTTTATCTACCAATACATAATCCAACAAACTACTGTCATTTTGCCCTACATCATATCTTGTATACTTATTTATCCTCTTTTTCTTAAAATATGTATTACCTATAACTAAACCCCTTTCTACACAAAGTTCAATCAAAGGGCTCCCATTATCATTTACACCTGGCACCCCAAACTCACCTACCACACCCTCCCTAAAAATTTCTCCTACTTTAGCATTCAGGTCCCCTACCACAATTACTCTCTCACTTGGTTCAAAGGTTCCTATTATTATTATTATAATCAAAAAGAAGCGCTAAGCAAAGGCTTCAAAGGTTCCTATACATTCACTAACACTCCCAAATCTTCTCCTCCTCTACATTCTCTCTCCAGGTGTATACACGCTTATTATGACCCACTTTTCGCATCCAACCTTTACTTTAATCCATATAATCCTTGAATTTACACATTCATATTCTCTTTTCTCCTTCCATAAATGATCCTTCAACATTACTACTACCCCTTCCTTTGCTCTAACTCTCTCAGATACTCCAGATTTAATCCCATTTATTTCCCCCCACCGAAACACCCCTAACCCCTTCAGCTTTGTTTCGCTTAGGGCCAGGACATCCAACTTCTTTTCATTCATAACATCAGCAATCATCTGTTTCTTGTCATCCGCACTACATCCACGCACATTCAAGCATCCCAATTTTATAAAGTTTTTCATCTTCTCTTTTTTAGTAAATGTCTACAGGAGAAGGGGTTACTAGCCAATCGCTCCCGGCATTTTAGTCGCCTCATACGACACGCATGGCTTACGGAGGAAAGATTCTTTTCCACTTCCCCATGGACAATAGAAGAATTAAAGAAGAACAAGAGCTATAATATACTTACATAATCGGTCAAGTTGGGAGCAGTTCAAAACTCGGGGTACCAGTGTACTATTTATCCTCTTTCTTAAAATATGTATTACCAATAACCAAACCTCTTTCTATACAAAGTTCAATCAAATGCTCCCAATTATCATTTACACCTGGCACCCCAAACTTACCTACCATACCCTCTATAAATGCTTCTCCTATTTTAGCATTTAGGTCCCCTACCACAATTACTCTCTCGCTTGGCTCAGAAGTTGCTGCACACTTGCTTAGCATCTCCCAAAATCTCTCTCTCTCTCTTCTCTCTCTCTTCTCCAGGTGTATACACTCTTATTATGACCCACTTTTCACATTCGACCCTTATTTAATCCATGTAATACATGAATTTATGCATTTATATTCCCTCTTCTCTCTCCATAACTGATACTTCAACATTATTGCTACCCCTTCCTTAGCTCTAACTCTCTCAGATACTCCTGACTTAATTGCATTTATTTCTCCCCACTGAAACTTGCCTACCCCCTTCAGCTTTGATTCACTTAGGGCTAGGACATTCAACTGCTCTTCACTCATAAGATTAGCAATCATCTCTTTCTTATCATCTGCAATACATCCATGCACATTCAAACAACCCAATGTTATAGTTTTTCTTTTTCTTGTTTTTAGTAATTTATACAGGAGAAGAGGTTACTAGCCCATTGTTCCCGGCATTTAGTCGCCTCCTACGACACATATAGCTTACGGAGGAAGAATTCTGTTCCACTTCCCCATGGAGATAAGCAGAAAAAACAAAAACAAGAACTAGGAAGAAAACAGAAGAAAATCCAGAGGGGTTAGTATATATATGCTTGTACATGCTTGTGTAGTGTGACCTAAGTGTAAGTAGAAGTAGCAAGACATATCTTCAACCTTGCATGTTTATGACACAGAAAGAGACCAGCAATCCTAACAACATGCAAAACAATTACAGGCTTATGTTTTACACTCATTTGGTAAGCCGGTAGTACTTCCCTGGGTGGTTGCTATCTACCAACCTACTACCTATTAGTTATAATATTATTCAAATAATATAAACTATTATCAAACATTAATGTCAAAATACTTTCATGGTCTTAAAACAAAACAAGAAATAACATTGCAACTCCAGTATTATATTTTCTAAGCAGTGCAATAAGAGAAAAAAGACAGTGTTCAATAGGGTACATGTATATGCACACTATAAAGTAGACGCTAAGTTGGTGCAACACAAAAGGCAGCTACAAAACACTCAAGAAACACAAACTTTACCAGCACTCAACCTAGTCATGCCAACCACCTGTTATGTGGCTACACTGGATGCAAAACATTATGCAGTGCTCAAGTATATTAAAACCACACCTGTCAGAAGAATAAGAAAGTACAGTGGACCCCCCGGTTAACGAACTTTTTTCATTCCTGTAGTATGTTCAGGTGCCAGTACTGACCGAATTTTTTCCCATAAGGAATATTGTGAAGTAGATTAGTCCATTTCAGACCCCCAAACATACACGTACAAACGCACTTACATAAATACACTTACATAATTGGTCGCATTTGGAGGTGATCGTTAAGCGGGGGTCCACTGTACAAGCAAAATACTTATCAGTAGTAGCAACACAATCAATAAAAACAAAGAAGTGATTCAATGTGAATTTGTTTCTAATCAAGGCAAATAGTTCCAAAAGTTTGAATAAGAAAGGCAAACTAATAAATGAGCCAGTTTCTTCAGTAGATATTATGATATAAAATGAATCTCCCAATGCCATATAAAAAAATTCAGAAAAATAATAACTTCTTCCAAACATTGTTAGGTGCTTGATGTGCTTCACATACAAAGAAGGTGGATATATATCCAAGTACCGAAAAAAAATGGTTGTCAACTAAGCTATACAAAGTATTAATTGCTTAAGCCAAAAGTAGGAAGTTAAGAGAACAAGTCCACACAGGCTAGGGAAATGGGAGTAGGTTTTATACTGTACCTTCAATTCTTGGGGTGGTGAGGCGCACTTGGGAAGAGGAATAGGTGGATCCTGCTCTCAAAGACAGCATGTGGACAGGCCAGGCATACAATCAGAGGAACACACACCATAGGATGCAGGTACAAGTTGAATAAACAGGATACATCACCAGACATGAGACAGTAACACAATGAGACAGGTAGGGTAAGAGATTAGACAAGTAATAAAGATGCAGATTATGAAGGTGAACATGAAAAAAGGGACCACAGGTACCAAACATATAATGGGATGACTCAATTTAAGGAAGTTATTTTTTCCTTTAACTAGGAGATTTCAAGAGTGGAGAGTGTAAGAATGGATTAGAACATACAATTAGGAGCATCAGAGCTGAATTTGAAAGTTATATAAATAGTGAAATAAGAAAGATTAATGTGCTATACAAAATTACAAAATTATCATAATAAACATAGCATGTGCAGCAAATAAAATGACAAAGATATAGCATACTAAAATAAAATCTGATTAAAAAATTGCATTAATAAAAATAACCAGATACAATGCAAATATCTAACATCTGATATACTCTACTATATTATACTGTAATTCTCACAAATATTAAAATAGCTAATAAAAACACAGAATTAAAATATTAAATTGCTAATAAAGCTTCCTACAACTGGTACCAACACTAAACAGCTAATACTAATACCAAACAAATTATTTTTGAAAACCACAATGCCACAATTTCTACATACCAAAATATAATAAAAAATATCATACATTTTCTTAAAATTCCATGTAAAAATAGGAAATGTGATTGCACAAAATATAGCATAATGCTAATCCTGTACCATTTACACTTTCATCTTCTGAGTAACAGAGATCAAATATGCATCACAATATTTATTTTGGTATGTGTAGCCAGCACACACTATCCTCTATCATATCAATAATGTAAGCATCTATCCAGATGACAGAGCAAGCTGAATGTATTGTTGTATTAAGCAGCAAGGAGTCCATGTGGTATGTGGCCCTCATGTAATACAGTGGTACCTGTATAACAGTAGCACCTATGTGATACAGTGACCCCCCCCAATGGCAACTGCAACCAAAACCTGAAATGCTTAAGCAGTCATCCAAGTATGACATATTAAGTGGTAAAGTTGCATCAACATCACTGATAAATAAACAGTTACAAGCTTATTAGAGGTTAGTCACCTGATGCTTGAGGTGGTGATGAGGCTTTAGTGAAGGAAGAAGGTAAGAAGGGAATTGGACGCCGGCAAGGAGAGGTGGGTAAGGAGAAGGCAGCACGGGTTTCACTGGTACTTCCATGACCAAGGATGTCAGCACTATTGGATCGACTTTTTTCAACCTGTAGAATGAAATTCAGATATATATTTCAATATTTATGAAATGAGTATCTAGATTATGATTAACACTGAAAAGTATGTGAGCAACAGATGTTCACATTACAGGAGGCCCTCCACATTCGTAAGGGTTAGGGGATCAAGAACCTCACGAATCTTGAAAATTCACGAATGTTTGGTGTGCAAATATGATATAGGGAAATATAATAATACAGTACTGTAGCATTCGCAAATGTTTTGATGCGCACATATATTATAGGGAAATATAATAATAGCACTTACTTAGCCTAAAAATACTGCTTCCTTAACCTAATGAATCATGAACAATCATTAAACTCAGGAAAACCTAACAAAGCACACGAAAAACAAGCAGCTGGGCATTCACGAATGTTCAAAGCTCACGAAAGTGGAACTCGTGAAAGTGGAGGGCTAGCTGTAGTTAAAATTCAGCTTAAAAACAAAATAATCAAAGCTTCAGCCCATTTTAAAATGCATTTATATACAGAGTTCTCAATAGTCTGAGCACAGAAATGTTTGTGCTACTTTTCTAAAGCTAAACCCATTTCTAGGCTGATTTTACATATTCCTGGAATAAAAATACTTGCTTTTACAAAAAGCCAAAGAGAATTATATAAACCATTGCACAAAAAACATCCTGAAAAGTTAAAGCACACTAAATGATTTGTTGGTATAATTTTCCAACGATGAATTAAAAATCCTTGAAGTGTTGCTGATAGACCTCATACTGATTATCCTCACTCCTGTACCCATAAAAGTGCAAAAATGTTGCTTCAGCAGTTCCATGAGGCTCCAAAAATTAGAGAAAAATTAATTCACAAAGAATCAGCCTTACTTCTGTTGCAAGAATTTTACAGGCAAGCAAATACATCACATACAAGGTCAAGGTATTCAGAGAAATGATGGTGACTGTATTTGTCATTTTAAGTCAGGGAAATTCACAGGCTTAATGTCGTATGAAGCCTCATTTCCACTTGACTGGGAGAATCAACAGGCATAACTGTTGATATCAGTAAAATGTGTTCAAAACAACTCTAAATTCATGGTGAGATTCTAATAGGAGATTGAAACTTATGACAACATTTCAGTCCGACTTGGACCATTAACTAGTCACACAGATAAACATGAAGGGAAGGATGCCAGAATAGATATGAGAAGAGGTAGGGGAACAGAAGTAGTAGAACAAGAACAGGTGGTGGCGACAGCAACAGTAATGGTAGTGGTAGTGGTAGTAGAGGTAGCTGCAGTAGCAGTAACATTAATGCAACAGTGATAGAGGTGGCAATAAGGTGAAAGTAATAGTGAAAAAAAGGGGTAGAGAATAGAGTATTAGCAAAGAAGCAGTAGTAGAAATAGTGGAGGAAGTCTAAGGAACAAGAGAACAGTAGCATTGCAAAAGAACTAATTGTCCACAAGGGTAGGATAAATCCCTGTGGAACAAAACCCTCATAGGACAGAACCCACCTAGGCAGAAGACAGGAAAGGTAATGAAAATATAGAAATGTGTAGAGGTAGGGAGAGGAGATGATAAAAACAAGGTCATGTCATGAGTATTCTGAAGTTTGGAGCACTTGACAATGTAATGAGAAAGGAAGGCATTTACACAGACAAAGCCTAGACTAAAAGTTATATTAGGAATGCTGTATGTAAGGGATGTTTCAACACAATGGCATCTGTAAAGGCTAGAAGGGTAGACAGTTTTGGCAGAAGACCAGTTAATAGGATAACTGAGAATGCATGCTCTTAGATTTGCATTTCTGCAATAAATAAATGAATCACTGGCTGTTAATGGCATTCAATTTTAATTATAAATGAATTAAGGGTACACTGTATTTTTCTTTATGGTGTCAGACTTCTAGGATACTCTATATATGTACACATGTATGTATGTATGTATATATGTGCACTCGGTGGGAGACGGCCGACTTGTTGAGAGAGAGAGAGAGAAAAAAAAAAAATGTGCGTGGATGTTGTGCAGATGATAAGAAAGAGATGATTGTGGATGTTATGAATGAGAAGAAGCTGGATGTCCTGGCTTTAAGTGAAACAAAGCTGAAGGGGGTGGGAGAGTTTCAGTGGAGAGGAATAAATGGGATTAGGTCAGGGGTTTCAAATAGAGTTAGAGCTAAAGAAGGAGTAGCAATAATGTTGAAGGATAAGCTATGGCAGGAAAAGAGGGACTATAAATGTATTAATTCAAGGATTATGTGGAGTAAAATAAAGATTGGATATGAAAAGTGGGTTATAATAAGCGTGTATGCACCTGGAGAAGAGAGAAGTGTAGAGGAGAGAGAGAGATTTTGGGAAATGTTGAGTGAATGCGTGGGGAGTTTTTGAATCAAGTGTGAGAGTAATGGTGGTTGGGGATTTCAATGCTAAAGTGGGTAAAAATGTTATGGAGGGAGTAGTAGGTAAATTTGGGGTGCCAGGGGTAAATGTAAATGGGGAGCCTTTAATTGAGCTATGTGTAGAAAGAAATTTGGTAATAAGTAATACATATTTTATGAAAAAGAGGAAAAATAAATATACAAGGTATGATGTAGCACGTAATGAAAGTAGTTTATTAGATTATGTATTGGTGGATAAAAGGTTGATGGGTAGGCTCCAGGATGTACATGTTTATAGAGGGGCAACTGATATATCGGATCATTATTTAGTTGTAGCTACAGTTAGAGTAAGAGGTAGATGGGAAAAGAGGAAGGTGGCAACAACAAGTAAGAGGGAGGTGAAAGTGTATAAACTAAGGGAGGAGGAAGTTCGGGTTGAGATATAAGCGACTATTGGCAGAAAGGTGGGCTAGTGCAAAGATGAGTAATGGGGGGTGTTGAGAGGGTTGGAATAGTTTTAAAAATGCAGTATTAGAATGTGGGGCAGAAGTTTGTGGTTATAGGAGGGTGGGTGCAGGAGGAAAGAGGAGTGATTGGTGGAATGATGAAGTAAAGGGTGTGATAAAAGAGAAAAAGGTAGCTTATGAGAGGTTTTTTACAAAGCAGAAGTGTTATAAGAAGAGCAGAATATATGGAGAGTAAAAGAAAGGTAAAGAGAGTGGTGAGAGAGTGCAAAAGGAGAGCAGATGAAAGAGTGGGAGAGGCACTGCCAAGAAATTTTAATGAAAATAAGAAAAATTTTTGGAGTGAGTCAAACAAGTTAAGAAAGCCTAGGGAAAGTATGGATTTGTCAGTTAAAAACAGAGTAGGGGAGTTAGTAATGGGGAAGGGGGGTATTAGGTAGATGGTGAAATTTTTTGAAAACTTTTAAATGTTGGGAAAAAAGGGGAGGGGGGTAATTTCATGTACGGCCCCCAGGGAGGTTACCATCTTTTAGAGTAAGAAAAAACAAAAGAAAGTGTGGTGGGGTAGTGAGTCATTACGTAGAAAAAAGGGGGGAAAAGCAGCTGGAACTGAGGGGATCATGCAAAAATGTTAAAAGCGGGGGGGGATATAGTTTTGGAGGGGTTGGTATTTTGTTTAAAAATGTATGAAAGAGGGGAAGGTCCCTAGGGATTGGCAAGAGGTATATTTCCCTTTAAAAAAAGGGAAAGGGACAAAAAAGTAAAAAATTTAGAGGAATAATTTTATGGTATCCCGGGAAAAGTATACGGAGAGTTATAATTGAAAAGAAAAGGTAAGCGAATGTAGAATTGGGGAGGAAGGAGGCTTAGAGGGGGTAGGGGAGTGTAATAAATGTTTCATTAAAGCATATATTGAACAGTATTTAATAAAGGTGGGGAAAAGTTTTTATTGCTTTTTATGGTTTTAAGAAAGGCATATGTAAAATGGATAGAGGAGAAAATGTGAAGATTTTTGCAATTTTTGGAATAGGTGGTAAGTTACTAAATGCTGTAAAAAGCTTTTTTGAGGGTAGGAGGGTCAGGTTAGGGTGTGTAGAAGAAGGGGGACTATTTCCCGTTAAAGTAGGGCTTGACAGGGGTGTTAATGTCACCATGTTTTTTTAATATTTTATGATGGGGGTTTAAAAAAAAGTAAATGCTAGGGTGTTCGGGAGAGGGGTGGGATTAAATTATGGGAAATCAAATTCAAAATGGGAATTGACACAGTTACTTTTTGCTGATGATACTGTGCTTATGGGAGAGTCTAAAGAAAAATTGCAAAGGTTAGTGGATGAGTTTGAGAATGTGTGTAAAGGTAGAAAGTTGAAAGTGAACATAGAAAAGAGTAAGGTGATGAGGGTATCAAATGATTTAAAGAAAAATTGGATATCAAATTGGGGAGGAGGAGTATGGAAGAAGTGAATGTTTTCAGATACAGTGGACCCCCGCATAGCGAACTTAATCCGTGCAAGAGGGCTGGTCGTTATGCGAAATGTTCGCTATGCGAATTAATTTTCCCCATAAGAAATAATGGAAATAAAATTAATCCGTGCAAGACACCCAAAAGTATGAAAAAAATTTTTTTTTACCACAAAAAAATGTTAATTTTAGTACACACAAACTGAAAAAGGCATGCACAATTACATGACACTTACTTTTATTGAAGATCTGGTGATGATTGATGGGATGGGAGGAGGGGAGAGAGAGTGTTAGTGTTTAGAAGGGGAATCCCCTTCCATTAGGACTTGAGGTAGCAAGTCCTAATGTAGGTCCTGCTTGGCATTTTCTTCCAGAACAGGCCTGTTTCATCACAATTAAACACTTGTTCAGGTTCCAGTCCTTCAGTTTCTATGTACTCCTTGAATTCATGCACATATTTTTCAGCCGCTTTGTGGTCCGAACTGGCAGCCTCACCATGCCGTATCACACTATGGATGCCACTACGCTTCTTAAATCTCTCAAACCAACCTTTGCTGGCCTTAAATTCACTCACATCATCACTAGTTGCAGGCATTTTTTTAATTAAATCCTCATGCAACTTCCTAGCCTTTTCACATATGATCGCTTGAGAGACCTATCTCCTGCTAGCTGTTTTTCATTTATCCACACCAATAAGAGTCTCTCAATCATCTTCCATCACTTGCGATCTTTGTTTCGAAAACACAGTTAAACCTTTGGCAACAACAGCTTCCTTGATTGCCGTTTTCTTGCCCACAATAGAAGCGATGGTTGATTTTGGTTTCTTGTACAACCTGACCAGGTCGGTGATACGTACTCCACTTTCATACTTATCAATGATCTCTTTCTTCATTTCAATGGGTATTCTTACCCTTTGAGGTGTAGGGTTGGCACTAGAAGCTTTCTTGGGGCCCATGGTCACTTATTTTCCACAAACAGCACCGAAAACACTGTAATAATACGAAATATTCCGAGTGTATGCTTGAATGTTACCGCGGAGGCTGGCTGGTAAACAATGGGACGGGCGGCACATGTGAGGCTGGCTGAGGGTGCACATTGGACGCGTCTCGGACGAAGGTCGCTGAGCGGGTTTTTGTCCACTATGCAGGGCAAAATTTTAGCGAACAAAGCGTTCGCTATGCGGATTGTTCGCTATGCAAGGCGTTCGCTATGCGGGGGTCCACTGTACTTGGGAGTTGACGTGTCGGCGGATGGATTTATGAAGGATGAGGTTAATCATAGAATTGATGAGGGAAAAAAGGTGAGTGGTGCGTTGAGGTATATGTGGAGTCAAAAAACGTTATCTATGGAGGCAAAGAAGGGAATGTATGAAAGTATAGTAGTACCAACACCCTTATATGGGTGTGAAGCTTGGGTGGTAAATGCAGCAGCGAGGAGACGGTTGGAGGCAGTGGAGATGTCCTGTGTAAGAGCAATGTGTGGTGTAAATATTATGCAGAAAATTCGGAGTGTGGAAATTAGGAAAAGGTGTGGAGTTAATAAAAGCATTAGTCAGAGGGCAGAAGAGGGGTTGTTGAGGTGGTTTGGTCATTTAGAGAGAATGGATCAAAGTAGAATAACATGGAAAGCATATAAATCTACAGGGGAAGGAAGGAGGGGTAGGGGTCGTCCTCGAAAGGGTGGGAAGGAAGGGGTGAGGGAGGTTTTGTGGGCGAGGGGCTTGGACTTCCAGCAGGCGTGCATGAGCGTGTTCTCTAGGAGTGAATGGAGACGAATGGTGTTTGGGACCTGACAATCTGTTGGAGTGTGAGCAGGGTAATATTTAGTGAAGGGATTCAGGGAAACCGGTTATTTTCATATAGCCGGACTTGAGTCCTGGAAATGGGAAGTACAATGCCTGCACTCTAAAGGAGGGGTTTTGGGATATTAGCAGTTTGGAGGGATATGTTGTGTATCTTTATAAGTATATGCTTCTGAACTGTTGTGGTCTGAGCACCTCTGCAAAAACAGTGATTATGTGTGAGTGAGGTGAAAGTGTTGAATGATGATGAAAGTATTTTCTTTTTGGGGATTTTCTTTCTTTTTGGGTCACCCTGCCTTGGTGGGAGACGGCTGACTTGTTAAGAAAAAAAAAAATGTTACTGTTTCAGTCATTCAGCAAATTCTCTTGACTTTCCATTTTAATCTATGTAATAAATTAACCTAAGAGGCTCTCAAACCTTTCAGAACCACTTATAAAAATTAAAGCAGGAAATTAAGAGAGTATTCTGTAGCATCTAATCTTCAAATCTGTATAATAAATGACGGTAACATTACTCATTACACCCTGATGCATAAAACCAACTTGCATTTAATTAAAACTAACCTTTTTCTTTTCTTTGGATCTTGACAATCGCAATTTTGATAGTTTATCCCGAACAGTTGATGGGCTTTTAGGAGCACATTTTGGTGTATCAATCATGAGAGAACTTGCAGGCACTACAAGTGATAATGAAGGTTTACTCAATGAGGATCCATCAGGTGCATTACTTGGTGGAGACTGTTGATCAGTCTTCTTTTTATCTTCTCCACCAGACTTACTGAACATACCTGTTAATACATTACAAACAGTTAGTCACTTAATTGTAATTTACACACATACAAATACATTAATAGTAAATCTCTACAAGATTTAAAGTGAACACGAAGTGAAATGGATAATGAAAATTATACCACTACAGGTTTTCCTTCTTTTTTGTGAATGGGGTCACTACAATGCAGTGACTAAATTTCTGCCAGTAATTCACTACTGTATATGGTATATATTTTTTCTTATGCAGTCACCAAATTCCAAAACCATTTAATTTTTTAACACTAAGTTGGTTCAAATTGACGTTTATCACAAAGTAATGATAGAAAAAAAATTTGGGCATGAGAAATCCAGCGAGCACATTTTGAATGAAACTGTACAACAGATTTTGAATTTAAATATCTTGCATCAAGTCAAAAAGAAAATATGACCTTGGCCAATAATGCAGTCAGGACTAGAGGTGGAGAGAGGGAGGAAAGAGGAAGGGAGATATGTATTTACAGGTTCATAACATATGTGCTTCAACCCAAAGACAAGTTGGCTGGTTGGTAGGTGGTGGAGGATGATGGATGGTATGAGAGGATTATGACTGAATTTTTAATAAATTTTTCCTCAGATACTTTTTGACCAAATACATTTATTGTTTGGTATCTGACTATTTGATACCTATGTGGTAAGATCATAATTTTTTGGTACAAATAAGGCAAGAAGAGTGTAATTTTTCTCCTGATTCTGGCACTGTGTTAACTAGAGATATTATGATAAAATTTTGGATTTTATTTGTCTTTTTTCTGTTGATTTTTATATTTTCCATTTTTTTTATACAAGTTTATAGTGCATGCAATTATACAATTTTAAATACAACAATGGAATTTATGGACAAACCTGTAAAAACTTGTATCAAGCTTCTTCTCCTTTCTCGATCTTTTGATTTCTTGCCAGATTTTTTCTCTAATATTTTTTCTGATGAAGTAGATTCCTGCAATGGTTGACTTGTTGGAGTGGTACTGGAGATAGCAGCTATAGCTGGAGTTGCTGGAGATAATGATGGTGGTGGTGGTACTAGTGGTGCTGGTAGAGCTAGAGTTGACTGTTGATTATATAGTGAGGAATTGAAGGTTGGAGAAGAACTTGTGCTTTCAGTTACTGTGGCATTAACTATGGAAGTTGGTACACTTACGGAAGGCTTACTTGGAGGAACTGTAAACACCTGTAAAGACTCAAGTTCCAATAATGATGGTCGGTGGGTGTGGCGTCGCAAAAGTTGACTATTAGGTCGTGAGTCTCCACTTTCGCTACTCCTCGTGCTTCCTCTTCTTCTTTGTCGATATTCCTCTAATCTTTCCCTGACACGATCATCTTTGTTCCATCCTTCCTGCTGAGCATCTGTAGTATCTTTGTTGCGATGCTGACGTTGTTCAGCAAGCAGCTCTTTAACCCGTTCATCTTTATTTTTTGGTGTCAAGTCCTCTCTTTCCTGAATTTTAACTGGTGCTAGTTTATCCAGTGCTTGAACCTCTCTTACTCTTTCTTCTTTATCACCTTCACTTTCACTTAAACAGCCTCTTTTTAGTTTTTCTCTTAAATTATCAACCAAGTTTGGAGGACTCAGTCCTAGATCCAAATCTGTTTTAAGGCGTGCACGAATGCGAGCTTCCTCTCTGACTCTTTCTCGTTCTACAGTACTTAAGTTTGGAGTCGAGAGAGGCCTCTCTGTGCTGATGGGTGTCGACATGTTAGAAGCACCAGTTTTATTTCGTCTCATTGGTGTAACTGGTACTGGAACAGCTGGCACTTTAAATAATTCTCTCATGGATGGTGACTTAATAAATTGCTCTGGATGAGTCATAGGAGTAGCTGGAAGATTTATGTGAGCTGGACTTGAAGGTTCTGCATCACTAACATGTTTTTCATTAATAGTCTCATCACTGGGACTTTGTTTAGGTGCAGTCTTACTGCTATTTTTGACATGTCTCTCAAATACATCTTCATCCTGGCTTTCATCAACAAAAGGAACATTTACCTCTTGAAGACTTTGCCCTTTATCTGTCATGCCCAAAATACTGTCATTTCTAAAGGAAGACCCTACTTTAACTTTTGCAAGATTCTCCTCAGTAGCAAATGTCTGCCCACTTTCTGATAGCTCTGCATTAATTGAATCTAATCTCAACAGCTCTTTACTGTTTATATGAACAGGTTTTTTGTCTAGATTCTCCACTTTTATATAATTTTCTTGCATAGTATGTTCCATTTTGTCAAGAAGGTTCTCCTGAGATGACTGAGGGCTAAAAAGAGATGTCCTTGATCCAGTGGAAGAAAGAGGACTCACAGATGTTCTTGAACCTCTTCTAGGAGACTTTTCAGAATTTTTCCGAGATATTCGTGACATGACTAATTCTTTAATTAGATCTTTTTCTTTTTCTTTATCTTTATTTCTTAAACTTCTCTCTATCTGTTTCTTAGCTGTATTAGGAGATACAAATGGTTTACTTTCCAGGGAAGTGTTCTGGACTGTTAACTGCACTAATCTTTGCTCATTCCTCTCTCTCTCTTCTATATCCTTTTTAGAAGGAGTAAACAATGGAGATTTTGTTGAATTCTTTTGAATATCAATAGAATCTCTCACATATCCAAATGGACTCATTCTTTCCTTGAATCTAGGAATGTATCCTTCATAGCGTTTTGGAGATGTATAATCGTCCAGGGAATCTCGTCGATGTTCTCCATTTAATTTTGGTCTTGTTTCACTAAGAGAAGGAGGCTCAGACACACTTTTTGGTACATGCGACTCAGACATGCTTTTCATAACATGTGAAATGTGAGGTTTAGTTTTGTTTACTACATCTTTGAGTTCTTTGCTTTCATTTTCAGCCATGTTGTTATTTTGGGCTTCTTGCACACTACCTTGTGATGTATCATCCAATTCTGTACTTGTGCTCTCCGATGATTTGCTTTCACTGCCACTTTGGTCCTGAACAGAAGCACTTTCAAGGTCAATCAGAGAGATTTGTGGAGCTATAGGAGTTGTTGGAGTTTCTTCTTCCAGCTTTCTATATCCCTGTTGTTTATGTGATATATCATCAGGACTGCTCGCACTCTCACTGGTGTCCATGTATTCTATACCTTCGAGATCTGCAAGAACAGAAGGCTTTGAAGGCACTGAGGTAATATTGAGACAAGAAGAAACAGCCGAGTCTGTGTCTCCTAGACTTTCTTCTGATGCTATTCTTGCGATAGTTTTAGAGACATCCTTTTTCACTAACCGTTTTTCAGTTTCATCAAGTTCAACTTCTAATTCTTCACCAGCACTTAATCCATCATTATCACCTGCCCAATCTGACAATTCAGGTTCTGTGTTCTCCCTACCTTCCTCAGGACTAGATACATTCTCCTTTGATAACACTGGATTTGTTTGATCACTAACTTCCATGATTTTCTTAAGTGGTAAGCTATCTTGTATGTTTTCTAAATTCTCATGCGTTTTCAAATTTTCTACAATTATTTCGATAATGGGCTCAACCTGTTCACTTACACTTTGATCGTTTTCTTTATCACATACTGACAATTCCTGAATTGTCAAGGTGTCACTAGTTTGGGAGTTTTTGTCACTGTGTGAAAAACCATTAGTATTTGTACCAGATGACTCTACTAATTCAGAAAATTTATCAATATCTTCTATAGCTTCACTAGCTAGTATATTAAAGAGTTCATCAACATTATCCTCTATATCAATATGATTTTCTATTTCTGTACATTCATCATTAAGAAAAGAAACTGGTTGAACCCTCTCATTAAACATATTTTGACACTCGATATTTTCAGAGTCGACTATATGTGGCATATTTGCCATCACAAGCTCCTGATTAACAGTTTCAAGGCCTTCACTTTCCCCAGGCAATGATAATCCAAAATCATCAATTGTTTCATCTGATACAATACTATCGTGCTGCTCATCCACATTACTTCTTTCATTCTTTACATGTACTTTACCTACACTAATATCACTTTGAACTACATAACTCTCAACACTTGCTGTTGTGTTAATAATATCATCACTACTTTTTACATCACTGCTATATACTACATTATCATTTACACAAGAGTTTGCTTCTTTCTGAATCTCGATGGCAGTTGGTGACTTTTTAGAAACAGACCATTTGCAACCAGAAGGCACATTATCATAATCAGATCCACTGTCGCTGGATGTACTGGTGCTGGTTTCACTACTGCTTTCGGATTCCGTAACTTTCACCAACTTATCTTCTGGTTTACTTATGGCTTCTTCATCTGGTTTAGAAGATTCTTCAGATACTGGAAAGCCTTTCAACTGATCTGGAACCTTCAACTGGACCTCTACTTCATCTGCTGCTTCTACAGGATATACTGAAGACTCTATATGGGTAGTGATATTTTGTTTGGCTTCGTGAGCAGCAGTTTCTAATGTAACTTTAGATGCTGATATATCCACTGCTACTGATGATTTTAGTGAGGTATCTACATCAACTTTGTCAGTATTTGTTGATTCTGAAGTGTTATCACCCTGAGGAAGATAGGCAGACCTTGCAGGCAACAGAGGGGATGATGGTGAAGATGCTGGACTCCGAGGGGAAGGTAATGAAGAGCTCATAAATGCTTGCATAGCTGCACTAGGCTGAGGAGCTGGATTCAGCATTTTCTGTGTTTCAGATATTTTATCCATGAAACTCTTAAATCGGCTACCTAAATCTGCTGTCGAGACGGATTTTCTAGGAAGATTCACAGTCTCCCCAAGAAGGTACTGCCGCTTCAGTTGTAAGGCTCTCTGAGCTGCTATTGCTTCAGTGGAGTCTGTCCGCTGCAAAAGCCTTTTAAGCTGTTCTGCTCGAGGATTTATTGTACTGGTTTCATTTAGATTAGTTAAGCTGGCACTTTTCTCACCATTTTCCTTTACCCAGTCACTAGATGCCTTACTATCTGCTTGTTCCAGGTCTACCTTCTGTGAGACAAAGTCGGTTCTTGGTTCACCCTTCCCGTGGATCACACCAACCTCACCATGACCTTTACTTTCCTTTCCTTTATCCACTGAGGGACCGAGGTGTGTATCATGAGTGTCTTGAGATTCATTAATAACAATGGTGGGAATTTCCTTGGGAGGACCTGGCTGAACGTGGTCTTCTGCAAATTCTGAATCTGTGTCAATCTGAGTATCACTCTCTTCACTTTCTTCATCACTTGCAACCTGTAACAAAATAATACGTAAAATTTCCACTATACTTAACAAATAAATTTAAAATATAGCAAGAAATATTTAAAAAATGAAAGAATTGTAACCTACCTCGGTATCAGAACCACTGTCTGAAGTTTCAGCTTTCCTTGGTGGAGCTGCCACATCAATGTTGACTTCCATACGTCGGAGTTCACGAGCACGTCTTACTGCCTCACCTTCATCTTCTTCATCGTCATCTTCGCCTCCTTCACCCTCGGTAGCAGTGTGGCTCTCATCTCCTGTGAATATCAACAAAATTCTTAATATATGATGGCACAGTATATAATAAAAACAATTGTTTTTTATTAACACATTAGCCATTTCCCACCAAGGCAGGGTGGCCCGAAAAAGAAAAACTTGTATCATCATTCACTCCATTCACTCCATCACTGTTTTTCCAGAGGCGTGCTTACACTAGTTATAAAAATGCAACATTAACACCTCTCCTACAGAGTGTAGGCACTGTACTTCCTATCTCAAGGACTCTAAGTCCAGCCTGCTGGTTCCCCTGAATTCCTTCATAAATGTTTCCTTGCTCACACTCCAACAGCACGTCAAATCCTAAAAACCATGCATCTCCATTTGCTCCTATCTAATATGCTCTCACATACTTACTGGAAGTCCAAGCCCCCTAACACCCAAAATCTCCTCTACCCCCTCCCTCCAACCTTTCCTAAGCCAACCCCTACCTCGCCTTCCCTTCACTACAGGTTTATATACTCTCAAAGTCATTCTATTTCATTCCCTCCTCTCTACATGTCCAAACCACCACAAGTATTTTATGCATAAATTAGGTTCTTTATAGGGGGAAAAAAAAAATGGCACACTAACTCACCTTCAGCTCCATATTCTTCACTGTAATTATCTGAATCAAGGTCAGATTCTGATTCATGAGCCGAGCCTCCTTCATCTTCATCATCAAGACGGTCAGTAGAATAACGTCTCTGCCATGACTCTGCTAATCTGCGAGTCTCAGCAGCAGTTAGAGTTCCCCCACCATCAAGATAACGCATTTCTTCATCATCAACTTCTTCATCACTGAAAATTTTTCCACACTAGCAAACATTCTTACTACACTTCAAGCAGTTTAAATTCACAACTAACAATTTGGCAAAGAAATGTTAGCCAGAGCTATGGTCTGTCCTGGACCATTATCAAACCCCAAAACATCTGATCATAGCAACTTTTTGTTTTAGCTTCAGATAAATGTAGATGATTTAACAGCCCCTAGTTAAAAGAATTCCTACCATGGTCACTGAAACAAAATCAGAAAATCAGGTACAATGTAATTTTCAATCTCTCTTAGTAGAATATCGATATGTGCATGACAAGAGACTATTAAAGCATTCACAAAAAAATACTGTACTTCAACACCTACCTCAGGTCTGAATAATCACTATCATCTTCACCATCAGAATCATCCAGCTCATTGGCTGATGCGCCAAAGTTACGATCAGTCCATTCATCCTCAGAAAGGTATTCATCCTCATCACTCTGTTCCACAACTGAATTTTCAAACTCTACACGTTCTGGAGTGGTGCCTCGATCTTCAGGGGAAAGGCCGGTTGTAACACCTTTCCCAACACCAAGACTGCTAACGAGGGCACCTGTTGTATCGCCTGCCCCCACCACTACTGGTACCTGTAACAGTTTGTGTGCCACCATCACCTACGTGCCATGCCCAAGAGAAAGAGGTGGGAGCTATAGCCAATGGCAATAATATCAAACATCCACTCATTCTGCCTCTGCATCAGTCGGCTATAGAAGCCTTGGCAAAAGATTTTCAGGTCCTGCTAAACTACGTTTACATTATGCATTCCAGAAAATTATGCAATTTATTACAAAATTATATAGCTAATATTTAACATCTCTCCACCAGTGAACATAAAATCTGAAGAGGAGCTGTGCATGAGAAAATCCATATTCACTAAATGAGAATAAATAAATGGCATTCAATGCAGATTCCATCATTATTACTAATTTTTATTTTGAGGGTGGTAAAAAGTACTGAACATTTATATCTATCAGAGATAATGATGCCAGTTAACTATTACATCATTATTCAATGTTGCACTCATATTCACAACACTGCATGAACATTTTACCTGGTAACTTTTTCCCACCACTATATACATTAATTCTTCTGAGATTGATGCTGCAAGCCTGAAAAAGACTACTGGAAGTAAAATACATATGACAGATTATAAAAAAAGCAATGAAAAGTTTCTGAAAATTTTAGTACAAGAATTAGGAATGTGCTTAAAAAAGAATATTGATTTGGGCCACTGGTAAATTTTGAGCGATTTATGAAAAGGACTGTCAACACAGAAGAAAAAAGGAAATGACAATACAGACTGTCTGAAGCGTCCACTGTGATGTGTGTCAAACAGATCTAACTACAGTGCAAATGTGCAAGATACTAGCCTTGGCATGCCAATGCTATTTACAAGATGTAAAAACGTTAAAATTTTCAATTTTTTATTATTAATTTTCAGTACACAAGAATATTACAATGGCCAGTAACTACATAAATCTTAAGAGATTCCTTACATCTGCTGATATTAATAATCTAAAGTATATAAATTATAATGCACAAGTAGTAACATCAGTGTTAGTAGAAACACTAAAAGTAATTATCATTAGTTTAATTTTACAAATTACACACAACCCAAAATAGGGCAACAAAGGCATAATGCAAACTGACAGTATTCTTTTTTAAGACATCTAGCCAAGTCCAATGTGGACTAACCCTGAGTCTTGGTCATGCGCTGCAGCCACATTAAATAGCGTCTCCACACAGATGAGGCACTAGGAGTTTTCAACTTTGCACTTGCACACTCCGGACTGGAGTGTGGAGGAGTTGAGTCAGAGTCAGTGTCATAACCACAGTCATAGTATGGTCTCTCATAAACATGTTTCTGGTGGGTAGTTACATCTAAGGGAGAAGAGGAAGAGGAGGGAGAGGATAACAAGGATGGTGTCATCAGAGTATAGCTCATATTACTCTTTGAAGATAATACCTTATCAATGACAGATGTTTCCAAGGAAGAACAATCTAACTTTTTTAGACTCTGACAAGATGAAGCAGTTTTACCTACACTGGACAGCACAGCATTTGTTAACACATTGTCTTTCTGCTGTCTTTTTGGCTGTACTAACTTTTCATTCATTATCGTGCATTTGGAATCCCTTGCAAATGTTCTGACTGAGCGACAATCACTCTCTGATAAGTGAGCTCCACTGGGTAATTTCACAAACAACTGGGAATTATGTCTACATTTTCCATAATGCATATGACAATTAGAGCTCAAGCAATTAGCTTCCTTTCTAAGTGCTGTACTGCCAGTGATCTTGAAGCTCTTTGATAATCTATTATCTCGCACCCAAGATGCTTTAGCAGAATCATCAGAATGATAATGTGGTTCAGAGGCTGAATTCAAAATCATTCTAGAATTACTGCCTAAATTGTACAGAATGTTTTTTTCATCTAAACACAATACTGGTTTCTCTCTAACCCTAGTTTCCCTGAAATAAACTGGACTCTTATCTGTACATATTTCATCAGGTGAACAACAACTACAATTATTGTCCATATTATCATGATCATCACTGAGGTATGTGATGTGATCAGGGTGATAACGGAGAGAAGAGGCTCGTCGTATAAGAGCTGTGTACTGCCGTGGTGAGATCTCGCCATCACATGGGTGCATCCACCCTAAAGACCTATGACCAAAAAGGGGCCATGTTTTGGGTCCGTGTCTCATCTGTAAGCCCATGAATCCAGGGGTTAGTTTTAAGTGGTATGAACTAGCCAACATGTGAATTACAACTAAATGCTCTCTCTCTCTCTCTATATATATATATATATATATTAGTAGGAAAGGAAACCAAAGTTAAGCATGTACCTACAACAAAATTAATAGTTAAAGTATGTTATAACGTCTAATAAAATAACATGCAAAAATCCATGCAGTACAAGTATAAATGCATGCTTTCCCTGGAAATTTATGTATAAAATAAGGACAGTAAAGAAGATACTTTAAAACAGTAAGTTTAGCTGAAGATATATGCAGCCAGAGTAGTCATTTGATACAGTAATTTAACTTGAGGTAAACAATTAAGAGAAATTTCCACTCGATTGATGATGCAGCTGACTGAAGCAAGTTTTAAACTATTCCTCTCTCCAAGTGTTTTACATCCAACCTCTTACACTGCATTTATAACTCAGATCTGATACATTCAGCATGACAGGATTTATTCCAGGATGTCACCCCTGTCTTCTAGTTAGAATCTCTATAAATCTGTATGGACACAGAACATCCCAAATCCCTTGTCAGCCAATTCGAATTTGTGGAATTACCTTGTTCTTTCCTCAGTGACTGGCGTTCACTGATCAATGATGGCAACTCTTTGTCTCACCTGGCCTTAATACAGCTGGTGGAAGAGACGTGCAGCTGCCCATGCAGTCTTGTCATCCTAGGCTACCAAAATCCCCGCATTATCAGGACCAAGTACGCCAGGGCCAGGAGTATCATCAACCAAACGAAGATCTGCCTCAACTAGAAGAGGCCATGTTTTGTTTATAAAAGAAAGCCGACTTCCTCTCGAAATGAGCTGCATAATTGCAACTCACGGTGTAAATAATAAGCAGGTGTGAGTGATGCACACAGCAAATGTTTGGACCGAGTGTTAATCCTTCATCTTATGCAGGCGTAGAAGGCGTACATCAAAGCATTATCTCAATGTAAATATCATAAGAGTGATGATTTAATCAAAAACACCCTTGAAGCACGAAGCACTTGTTAGAGCACTCGATAGCATAACTGAAGCCTGAGCAGATCCTCATGTTAGCAGTGAGTATTGCAGAGTAAGATAAATTTAATGAAAATTATATTGTAATTCTATTTTTCTTGAAAATTATTTGCTTATATAAATAAGGAAATGTTCACCAAAAAACTCAAACTTTGGAAAGTAATGTTAGGATGGTGCTTCTGTCTATCCTGACTTGACAATGGTCCAAGATGAACTGAAACCTCATTACAACATTCCTCTCCAAGGTATGGGTTTCTGTCGAATTGTTCCAGCCACAGTAATGTGACTTCTTATTCTTTCCTTAAGCAAATGTTACTTAGAAAGCCACGCTTACAGCTTTCTGTTTAATATGATTAAATTTTTTTATAAAGTGAATATACCATCGTAGTATTATCTTCCATGAAATGGCAAAAAAGAGTTAATGTAACTATTACAATGGTATTACCATAAATGATGTGAAATTAATTTTAAACAAAACTGGTGAAAAATTCAAGTAGAACTCCTCTAAATCAATATTTTGGTGTAAACATATGCAATCATACTGTAGAAAGGTGTAAAATATTTTTTAATTCAATTTTCCATTATTATTATTATTATTATAATCAAATAGAAGCACTAAACCTACAAGGGTCATACATCACCACCGGGCAGGGAAGGATGCAGGAGTAATGGGTAGCAAGAGGGAGAGGGATGATTAGGGCATGGAGTGCAGCGGGACAGTGGATAGTGCAGGGGTAGAGGGTAGCAAGAGATTGAGGTAGACAGGGCCATGAGGAGTACTACAGGCATCATCAGAGTTTGTGCAGTAAATCAGTTGCTGTCAAAAAGTCAATGAGACTGTCTGGATTACAGAAGGGTCCATCAGCAAGAAGGGAAGGTGAAGTAAGGACAGTAGAGCAGTGATGATGTTGGAGGTAAATTCTGCATGCTTGTTGATAGAGTGGACTGTCCAACAGAATGTGGCTAACAAAAACTGGAACCTAACAATTCTCACAGAGTGGAATAGGGCGCCTCTCCATGAGATACCCGTGAGTAAGATGAGAGTGGCTGATGCAAAGACGGGAGAGAGTAGTCTTCCAACCTCGACAGTGATAAGAAGACGGCCAGAAATCTACACACGGTTTAATAGAATGTAGTTTATTATAGAGCAGATCAGACCAATGCTGTTGCCAACAGGTGTGACGGTGGGTAGCAATTACAGCAAAATAGTCTGTGAATAGAACACCTCTATATGAAATTGGGAGGTCATGTACTGCTGATCGTGCAACAGTGTCTGCCTGTTCAATGCCCTGAATGTCAACATGACCAGGGACCCAACAAAAAACAATATCTTTGTGCATGCTCGAGATATGGTGTAACCAAAGATGGATACAAAGAACCAGGGAATGAGGTGTATCAAATTTTCGTAGAGCCTGTAAAGCCCTAAGGGAGTCTGAAACGACCACAAATGGTGACACAGGCACAGAAGCAATACAGATAAGTGCTATGAGAATGGTATAAAGTTCAGCCGTAAAAATCCTAGATGGGGATAATAAATGCCCTCGCACGATGCTGTCCGGAAACATCGCTGCGAATCCGATGCCATCAGACTCGGCACCATCAGCGTACACCACGATGGCACGAAATCGGAAGTAGTTAAGAAAAAGAGCAAGAAGCCACCTTAGGCATTTGGGCTTTCATGTGTGGCAGTGGGAAAGAACAGACACGAGCCGTTAGAACATCCCAAGGGGGTAGGGAAAAGTGAGATGCTACATGAACATAGAAAGGTGGTAACTGAAGAGAAGACGAGCAAATGTAGGCGAAGAGAAAAAGGATGGAGTAAACAAGGGCGATGAACAAATAATGTCTACTAATTTTTTTTTTCCCCCCAACAAGTCGGCTATCTCCCACCAAGGCAGGGTGACCCAAAAATAAAGAAAATCCCCAAAAAGAAAATACTTTCATCATCATTCAACACTTTCACCTCACTCACACAATCACTGTTTTTGCAGAGGTGCCCAGAATACAACAGCTTAGAAGCATATACGTATAAAGATAAACAACATATCCCTCTAAAGTGCCAATATCCCAAAACCCTCCTTTAGAGTGCAGGCATTGTACTTCCCATTTCCAGGACTCAAGTCCGGCTATATAAAAATAACCAGTTTCCCTGAATCCCTTCACTAAATATTACCCTGCTCACACTCCAACAGCTCGTCAGGTCCCATATACCAATTGTCTCCATTCACTCCTATCGAACACGCTCATGCACATTTGCTGGAAGTCCAAGCCCCTTGCCCACATAACCTCCTTTACCCCTTCCTTCCAACCTTTTCGAGGACGACCCCTACCCCGCCTTCCTTTCCCTACAGATTTATACGCTCTCCATGTCATTCTACTTTGATTCATTCTCTCTAAATGACCAAACCACCTCAACAACCCTCTGACTAATACTTTTATTAACTCCACACCTCCTGATTTCCACACTCCGAATTTTCTGCATAATATTTACACTACATATTGCCCTTAGACAGGACATCTCCACTGCCTCCAACCTCCTCCTCGCTGCAGTATTTACAACCCAAGCTTCATATCCATATAAGAGTGTTGGTACTACTATACTTTCATACATTCCCTTCTTTGCCTCCATAGATAACGTTTTTTTGTCTCCACATATGCCGCAACGCACCACTCGCCTTTTTTCCTCATCAATTCTATGATTAACCTAATCCTTCATAAATCTATCCGCCGACACGTCAACTCCCAAATATCTGAAAACATTCACTTCTTCCATACTCCTCCTCCCCAATTTGATATCCAATTTTTCTTTATCTAAATCATTTGATACCCTCATCACCTTACTCTTTTCTATGTTCACTTTCAACTTTCTACCTTTACACACACTAATATCAGTGACTATCCTATATATGGAAGGATTGCGGAGGTCATGAGAGCGAACATAGTAGTGAAGGCAATGAGTATCACGGCTAGTATTCCTTTTATTCTATCAATTGAGTAAAAGAAACAGACCACTTACCTATTTTAACACCCAATAAAGTGATCAGAAATCGGCCACTTGGACAATTTCACAAAATGAAAAAAAAACTGCTTTTTTAATTTTATGTGATCAATTCCATGGCAAACTACACCACCGCCAAGGACCTCAACAGAATGGGATGGACCCCGGTACCATTCCCCTTACCTAGGAACTAGGGTGCCTGTGGAAAGAATCCCAAAGGTTGAAAATAGGAAGAGAATAGGAGAGGGATGGGGAGGAGGAGGAGGAAAGGGAAGAAGGGAGGATGGGGAGGATGGGATAAGGAAGGGGGGATTGGGGGGTAATTAGGGTGAGCATTCACGATTGTTACTGTATACAATGTTAACCCTTTGACTGTTGCGGCCGTATATATACGTTTATGAGGTACCGTGTTTGACGTACATATACTCGTAAATTCTAGCGGCTTCAAATCAGGCAGGAGAAAGCTGGTAGGCCCACATGTGAGAGAATGGGTCTGTGTGGTCAGTGTGCACCATATAAAAAAAATCCTGGAGCACGCAGTGCATGAGAAATTAAAAAACTCCGACGGTTTTTTTTAATTAAAATGGCAACTTTGTGGTCTATTTTCGTATAGTATTTGTGGTTGTATTCTCATTTTCTTGGTCTCATTTGATAGAATGGAAACTATATTATAGAAATAGAGGTGATTTTGATTAATTTTACTATAAAAAGAACC